CTATGAAAAACTATGAAAAACTATGAAAAACTATGAAAAACTATGAAAAACTATGAAAAACTATGAAACTGAAATTTTTGGAAAATCATATTTAACCCTGAAAATTGGGCTTAAGCCACCTTTATAAGTGCATTTCAGTTATTTTACTTTATTACTATTTACAAGAAATGTAGAAAAAAAAATAGTGCGGTTTTTCAGAAACTTTTGAAAAATACTGGGGGGGCGTGACGTAAAGTACCTCCAAATTTTGAAGAAACTTTTTAAATGTCGCAGCGCATCGCGAGCTACATCGACTGGCGAATATCCATTTTGGAAAAAATCCTACGTATGGTTTCGGCCCTAGATGTGTTCACAGACGGACGACAGTCGGACAGAAAGACGGACAGCCGGGCGGATTGACTGACTTGTTGAAAAACACTCTTTTGTTATCAGTGGACAATAAAACGTGCATTTCCGTTGAAATCGTGAAATTGATTTTTAGCAGCCTTACATAACTTTCCTCTACTACGTATATTATTACTTTGTATACGTATTTACGTATATATCCGGAAAATAACACGGTGGTTTCATCGTATTTCTTCTGAAATCACTTAACAAACCTGTGCTCTTGATTTTTTTCATATAGTCTGAACGAATTTTAACTCTTTTATTCTAAAATTAGTCTGGTAAGGTGGAAATATTTTTCTTAACCAGGTATACCAGGATAGGTTTTTCCCCAGCGAGGTACCCTCCCACCCCCCAGCCGGGACAAACTCTCCACTGGTCTCCCGACAAGTGTGATAGTGTGGTTCATGTGAGTAAGTAAGGGCTGGGTCGGAATGGGAAGGAAAAATCGTGCCCGGCCAGCTACCTGTTTGTTAAAGTCCTGGTCCACCGTCCGACAGGTGTCGGTCGGTGTGCGGGCGGAGTTCCCCTCCGGTCTGCGCGGCGGCTGAGCCCCCTCAGCGCTCGGCTGCCCACGGGCGGGCGAGTGCGCGAAGCACAGGCGGCGGACTGCTCCCTCCCCCCCTGCCACCCCCCACCGGCGTCTCCGCCTCGCGGAGAAAGTTTTGATGGCTTCATGCGAAGTTTTCTCCGGGTCTACCGGAAATTGGACTGGGGCGCGGGCGGGGCGGAGGTGGGATTCGAAGGGGGAGTTGGGGCGACGTTCGGCGTTGCTCTGGCAAACGCGCGGCTGATTGACGCAGAAATAAAGCTGGAAACGCCAATGGACGGGGTTGGCGGACCGATGGGGCAGGAAAATGTACACAAATATATTTACGAATCCGTGACAGGGAGATGTAAAACTCGCTCAACTAAAATAAACACAGTGCACTGCTGTGGGCCAATGTGTGCCCTTTCTCTACGTTGTACTTTACCCCTACGGAGTAGAGAGAAAGTAGTAAAATGCGGCGAATGTTCGGCAGACAACTCTCAATACAGGGCCTGATAACGAAAGAGTGCATAAATCCAATTGTTAAATTTATAAATAACTAGTGGTGCTACAGAATGGCACAGACGTGCCCGTATTATTTATCTGTTTTCTTTGGTCTCGTCTAGCTATAGGAACTTGTCATGTACTCTTGCCAATTACATCTATCGCCACCCGAAATATGTTTTTTAATTTCTTAATTTTTTGTTTTACTTTCTATTGAACAACAACATTATTTTCAGAATATTAGAGAACAGTATATCCTGATCATAAATGGCAAATTTCTTTGAATAAAAATTAAAGCGGTTTTTATGAAAATGGCAGTTAACCCTACTGAAAATTCGAAATTTGATGCTCTTTTTCAGAGAAATTTTTTAGGTTTTTGACAAACTTCATTAGCCATTTGAAGATATATACAACCGTGTTTATAAATCACTAGAAATGTGCATATTAACGGTGTTATATTTGTGTAATTTTTGAAAAAGCAAAAATAATGTTCCCAAATGAACTCTACGTTATATTAAATATTGGAATTAGCACTATCCCATCGAAAAGTTTAAGAAATAAAATTGGAACAGTTTCTGGCGGGAAAATTGCATTTGAGCGTTTCTGAAAATCCGAAAGTTTGAGCGAGTTCTCACAAAAAACGTTGAGTTTTCGAGAAGTTTTATTTCGCATTATTTAAAGCACAATTACTCATAAATACAATAATGAGAACCAATTGCCGCTAATATAAATATTAACGACGTGACAGACAAGTAAAAAATT